GGGGTGCAAAGGAAAAGAGGGGAGCCTGCATGGAGGGAGCAGGAAACAAACCCCCCTCTTTAAAAAAAACAGCCCTAGAGGGTGGGGGGGGGTAAAGACCCTCACAGGATGGAGCCCCCCCCGTCCTGGAAAAACAGATTTTATTAGGCGTGGGCAGATCGATCGATTGATAGATAGATTCATATATATATATATACACACACACATATATATGCACGTATATTGTATATGTATATATACACTTATTTTATTTTATTTCATTTATTGCATTTATACCCCACCCCTCTAGTTAATTGACTACTCTGGGCAGCTTCCAACGTGCAGTATATAATAAAACCCGGAAGGGTCCTGGAACTAGAAATTTGGCCCTTGGATTCAGGAGGCACCGTGAGGGGGGAGGATCGAACCCCCAATCTCTAGCTCCGTAGCCAGAGACCTAACCCACTGAGCTATCCATCCATCGGGTGTGAGGGGCATAAAGTCCCCAAATGGTAGGTGAAGCAGTGGGAGGATGTGTAGGAGAAGTGTGGAAATCTAGACATGTGTCAATCGGCAGAGAGAGAGGCTTTTGATCTTCGGCTTTAAGCTGGAGATGGCAGGTCTAAAGCTGGTTTTCTGTGGCCTTTTCCCCATCCGAAATGTGTCCCGAACAAACTAGGATGAATAAACCAGAAGCTGGAAGTCCGGTGGCCTTGAAAATGAGCACTTTCAAGCAGCCGGTTGTGTTCTCTTACTCTGTTTTCTTCTGTCCCAGGGACGTCTGTGCTATGCCTTTGGTTCTGCAGGGCTCTTGAACGAGGATGGAGTTCCCGGAGCATAGCAAGAATGTCCTGCAGAGCCTCTGGGAGCAGCAGCACGAGGGCTTCCTTTGCGACTGCACGGTGCTGGTGGGCAGCACCCAGTTCTTGGCCCACCGGGCGGTCCTGGCCTCTTGCAGCGCCTTTTTCCACATGTGCTACAAGGAGCGTCTGGACAAGCGCGACTTCGTCTCCATCAACAACGAGATCGTCACCGCCCCGGCGTTCGGGCTGCTGCTGGAGTTCATGTACAAAGGCAGCCTCTCCTTCAACGACATGCCGGTGGAGGACGTCCTGGCGGCCGCTAGCTACTTGCACATGAACGATATCGTCAAGGTGTGCAAGAAGAAGCTGCAGGCGCGGGCCACGGCGGAAGCGGACAGTACGAAGAAGGAAGAGGAGGCCCTGGGAAGCTCCGAACGCCTGCCCAGCACCTCCAGAGGCCAGCTTCAGATGCCCGAAACCCAGCCATTGCCGGTCCTCACCCCTCACCCCTGTGAAGCTGACAAGAGCAAGAAAGAGGAACTAAAAGGAGGAGAAAAACCTGCTTCTGAAGAATCGTTGGCCTCCACTTTGGATGTGGCGGACACCACGCAACCGGGCGTGGAGGCTCCTCCACCTGCCAGGCTTCTACCTCTTCCTGCGCCACCAGCGCCACCCGTAGTGGTCGACATTTCGTTCTCCAGCCCCAGCAGTTCCACAGAATCCGTCTCCCACAGCGGCTTTCCCGCGGGGAGCCTGGCGGAAAGGTCTTCCAGCGCGGGTCCTGCTCCGGAGAGTTACCCAGAGCTGCAGGCCCGGGGAACCCTCGGCCCGCTGGGCGCCAAAGAGACAAACAGGGCTTCCATCAAGGTCAAGGTGGAAGCCATCGTGATCTCTGACGAGGAACCGGATGGTGTGGAGCACCTGAGCGGGCAGGGCGCAGATCTGAGGCTGGAGAGCCTCTTCCAGAGGTCGACTGGGGAGCCTGGGCTCGCCGGGAAGTGCGTCCGCCACCCCGAGAGCTTTGAAGAGCCAGCGGAGATGGAAGAGGTGTCCTCCGAGAGCGGATTCCTGCCTCAGGAGCACCTCCCGTATCATATGATCCCCCTGCCTGGCGGGCAGAGTTTTTCTAACCTGGTGACTCCGCCGCTGCACGAGCAGATCTATTTGCAGGATTATGAGTCACACTCTAACTTTGGCATCTTCACCGAAGACGTGCCCACCTGCAAGACGTGTGGGAAAACCTTCTCCTGCTCCTACACGCTGCGGCGCCACGCCACCGTCCACACGCGGGAGCGGCCCTACGAGTGCCGGTACTGCATGCGGAGTTACACCCAATCCGGAGACCTTTACCGGCACATCCGCAAGGCCCATAATGAGGACCTGGCAGCCAAACGGTGCAAACAGGACGTAGAGAATCCCTCCTAGGGTGTCTCGCCAGGCAGATCATCCGGACCACTCCCCACACATGTCCTGTTTTAACTTGGTACAAAGCCATGCAAGCTGGCCTCCCCCAAGCGCAGAGAGTCCTGCGTCCCATTGGTCTGGCTGTTCCACCTCCATCCCTCCAAATATTTCTCCACTTTTGGTGTTGGGTTTTCCGTAACGCAATTCATGCCTATTTGTATAGTCCCTGTACATAGTTAAGAACTATAATATGAAAATAACCAGGGAAGGTTTCTTAATTTTATTCCTTTTTACAGTAGGACCTCTGTATCTGCAGGGTATTGCTTCCAGGCCCCCTGTCCCGTAGATGCTGAAAACTGGATAATAGCAAATGCTATACATAGCATGATAAAAGAAGAAAACAAATTTAAAAAATATGCATTTTCACCATGTATTACAAGAACTGGCCACTAGAGGGAGCCAAAGACCATGTTATGTATTCTTGAACAAAATAATGGTCTCTGGCTCCTTCTAGTGACCTATTCTGGTAAAGACATCATGAAAATATGCATTTCTAGTTTTTCTTTTAATATTTTCAGGCCACAGCTAAGTGAAACAGTGGATACTGATCTTCTGGATACAGGGGTCTTACTGTATTCATTTATATACAAAGTGTCATGGCTGCAAGTCAGACAGATAATTCCACCTCTACCTGCTTAGTATGCTTGGGTGGAAGGGAGGATGTACGCCAAGAAAGGTTGGGAAGCTATTCTTGATAGATGAAGCAGATCAGATCAGAAGGGTTGGAGGAAGAACAAGATCACTCGGGGGCACCGGTGGCTATGGGTCGGACTATGTTGTGGGTCTGTGATCTGATATATCCTCTCGCACAAAGCAGGCGTGACTGGAAAACAGCTTCTGCCACCCATATTGAGTCCCCGACTCGGCCTCCAAAGAGTGATGGATGCAGAGTTGCACCCACTTTACAGCCAAAAATAAAACCTCCAAGGTCTGCTCAAAGTGCC